CTCTCTCTCTCTCTCTCTCTCTCTCTCTCTCCGATGCGGACGGTCCGTCGTCACGCACCAACCCACGAAGTCGTCACCCCGCTTAGTCCTCCTGCACCCGTCAGGTTCGCCCGCGCGCTACAGTCCGTCGTAGCCCCACGTGTCAACCCCGCGCATTCGGCACCAGCTCGTCGGGTCGCCTGACTCCCACTTCAACTCACCTCTTACTTCGCTCGTGAGCCGACCCTCACTGATCGCGCTACCCCGAGCTTCCAACCACTAGTTAAGAGAGCTATCCAATCGCGCAGCCGAAATTTATAGCGTGCATGCATGCCCGAAGAACACGGAATTGCAAGGACTTAGAAAGGAGATTAGGGGAGGGAGCGCCTACGTTCTGCATGGCCAGACCGCGACGTGGGGGACGTAGCCACTCTCCACACATCGATCCGAGCATGCAGGCCGCGGGCTAACTAGGCACAGCAAAAGGGAAAGAGAGAGCGGGAAAGACGAAGCTCAAGAGGAAAGATACAGTTACAATGGCGCCCACCCAAAATTACAGTTACTTGGGCGCCGACTAATCAGAGCTCCGTTGCAGCCGCAAAAAGAAGCGTGCAAGCAGAAGGCGTAATGCGAAATGCAAAAAGCACAAATTCCGAAAAGAAAGTCCAAAGTTCCGAGAGCCGTCAAGGCTCGACAAGATTCAAAAAGAAAATTCAAAAAGAACGAAGCAAAATTCCCGCGCGACCTCCGCGCCTAAAACCCGACAACAGAACAAGAAAGAAGCGACGTCAAACATTATTAATCGCGCCTTTGTCAGCGCGACAGCCACTCAATCGGCCATCTCGGGACTTGCCCGGCCCTGAACCCAGCCATTCGAAAAGAAGCGACGAAAAAGAAAAGACGAAAAAGCGAGGACACCGATGCAATTTCCCTTCGATCCCGATCTCCCGTAGTTGGCCCATCCTTCCCATCTCAGGACCCCTCATTGTCATCGCGCAGAAAATCGCGCGGAACAGAAATTGGTTCGTCACAATGCGGTGAGGACGGAGTTGGGGTGGGCTCGCACAGTGCAGTTCCCATCTCCCATGGCGGCCATGAGTTGAGCGACTACCTTCTTCACCCGAATACAAAATACGGTCATTATAGCTGTGTTTGGGGTATCTTTCCGTCCAAATACAGCAATAATGACCATACGTTGAATTCGGGTGAAGAAGGTAGTTACTGATGTGGCTCTTCACTAGGACAGAGTTTGGGGTATTCTTGTGGACAGAGACCGGATCAGGGCTGCTGGTTGACGTCTGGATACCCCAGCGATGACAAAGACGGGGACCGCCTGTTCTGAATCTCAGCGGATTTCCATGTTTTCCCAATTACGTAGTCCGTGCCTGAGTGCACTGCATCCTCTTGAACTGTTCTAAGGCACAGCAGCAGCAGAGATGGTGCTCTGATGTAGAGTAAGTCTTGCTGGAGTGAGGAGAAATGGGTGTGCAGGGAGGGCCCCTAATCGATGTTCCATTCCTTGTTTTGATTTCCTAGTTGGCTTAGTTCCTGTTAGTTTCTCATTCGAAACACTTTTCTATGTGATTGACGATGTGAAATTTGTAAGGTGAAGGTGGGTAATGGCCCCGGTACGTGAAAAAAAATCTACAGTTTCGTGTGAAGGTACGCTGGGCCCAGTTCCCAGCACATGATGCTTTGCAGGAAAATATCAGGGCATGTTGCTTACAAAAACAACAACAACAAGGCAAATAACTTGAATTTAAGCGAACTGTTAAATTAGGGATTTCGCTGAGGAGCAACATAAAGAAATGCTCACTTTCCTGTAACCAGCACTAAGTAGTAACTACTAACTACCCATCAAATGATCTGCCATTTTGGTAATTTAGCGTTAAGAAATTAAAATAATTTTTCGAGAAAGTAGGCAATTAATGAATCCAATTTTGACTAAATAGCTAGGCTACCAGAGTGGCCCGGGGTCACTTGCCCGGCCGGGCCTAAAATAAATAAATAAAATAAAAATAAAAAATAAAAAATGAAACAATATTTTAAATAATAAAATTCTAATTTTTATTCTAAATTTGGTGAAGAATTTCGATGTGACCCTGAGGCAAAAGTTGTTCAGTTTATTTTTCTGCACAACACAGTTTTTTTCCGGAGGTTTTTTTTTTTTTTTTTTTTTTTTTTTCTGGGACCTTCCCTGGTCCTTGCACGGGCTGGCCACCCGGGACCCAGGCGGTCCGGCTGGTAGCCTAGCTAAATAGTAAATAGTAATTACTAACTACTAATTAGTAATTACTAACTGGTGTCAAAATCCAGTTCTCCACTGAGCAGCAGCATATAAAAAAAAATTAGTAAATGCTCACTTTCGTATAATCACCCATCAAAAGATCTGCCATCCCCCACTCAGGCTTTCTTCGCGTCGGAATGCCGAAAGCAAATGAATCGTCCGTTCCTATGCGTATTCTGCATCAACCACTTGTGGAAAGGTAGTGGAAAGAGAGCAGGCAGGACGTGACAAATGGAAGCGTGATCTTTTGGGGTGGAGGGTAGTTTTTTTTTTGGGCGGGGGTGGAGGGTAGGGTAGGGGCGTGCAGGAAGGGTGCAGAAAGGACAGAGGGTGATGGAAAGAGAGAAAAAGGCAGATGCAAAGATGGGAGTGGAGTAAAGCGGTAAGTTTCAGAGAGAGAGTCTGATGTTTACAGAACTTTCAGCAGAGAAAGAGAACAACACAAATTGCAGTTCAATCCGAAGGGTGCCCCTTTGCTGTCGACAAAGTAGAACGAAGGACTTGAGAGGAAGACATGGGGTCTCAGCGAGGTTTTTTTTTTTTTTTTTTTAATAACCTTTTTCGGAGGATTTCTCTTCGTTTGCAGAGATTGCAAACTGACAACTAACATTCACGACACACTGACGCACACAACACTGACAAAGTCGGTCTACGTTTTGGGTATGAAGTTTCTTTGAAAACTTTAGACAAAGGTGCTATTTCCATTTTGGGTCCCTATGGAATTTCCACCACATTTCAAAAATTAGCAAAGCAAACAAGTACACTTACGCACTCCACTGAAAAACAAGGTGAAAAACTTAACTTAGAAAAACTCTGAAAAAGTTCAAAAAAGTTGAAAAACAAGAAAGCAAGTCCTGTTAGTCCATTGGGTAATTGGCAAATTGCCAATTGGACATTATGAGCCTCACACAGATGTTTCACAACTCCCCGTCAGCTTAGCGCGAACTGCCACTCAAAGAAACACCGGATACCAGACACACTGACCCCACTGTCATTGCAGATTCATCATCCTTGAACGCATAGAACAGCAATGGACGGAGAAAGAAGTTGGGGAGAACGTGGCTGATTTTGGACGCGTGTTGACTGCGGCACGCTTTGACCCATGCTGCATGCATCTTATACAGGTCCAAACCAACCTTCCAGCAGTATGTAACAGGTATACAGAAGGCATCAATCTGACAAAATGTAGTGACACAACACACCGTACAGATTGACAAGTACACCCAATTGGTCCAGTATGTAAGTACTGATACAGGTAATGGCAGCCCCGGCGCCGCATTTTGATGGCAGCCATGCAGCCGTCCTCGGGGGGGGGGGGATGCCTTGTGGCTTCTGCGTGTGCTTTGTCCAGTGGTAAAAATGCCGATGCAGGGCGGACAAGGCTGCCCCGCCTATATACCCCTACAATCAACCCTATACCACGCCGCTCTTCTCACACGCCCTCAGTTCTCATCCGTCCTACTCTGTCTGGTGTACTTCCCATTTCTGCACAGTTCGAGAGCATACTCAACACTGGGACTTTCTGGCGAACGCATGTTCTCATGCTTCAGGCCGCAAACATCAAGGAAAGTGCTGGTCTGAGGATGCCGTACGCCATTTGGGTCTCATGACATCCTGTCGCCTAGTTTCAAATCCTGCTTGTCCCGCGAGGTTCCACGTACCGTGCCCGAGATACAGAGCGCCTCAGGCACCCCTGGACACTCCGTGAAATGCCAGTGTGTTGGCACAAACTTGTCCCGAAGACAGATACGTTCCTAGCAAGTGAGAACTACGAAAAGCCCCCACTGGTGTGCTATGTTCACGCTTGGAAAACATGAACCTAGACATTATGCACGGCTGAGTTCATGCCTTTGTAGCATGAACATAGCACAAGTGTGGCCTGGCCCCTTACAGAAAAGCCTGCACAGGTCAGGGATTGGTGCTCCCATCTTCCCCCAAATAGAATGTACGGTCATTATAGCTGCATTTGGGCCCACTTGCAGTCTAGATACAGTGATTATGAGTCTAATGACCGTACGTTCTAGTCGGGTGAAGATGGTAAGCCTATTGACAGGGCACCGATCGGTACTTGCCTTGGATCTGCCCATGACTCTTCACCGCCCATCTTGTCACAACATCAAGATATCTTCACCACCGCAATCATGATGCAATGTCCAGGAGTGGAGCCATGCTGGACATGATATCCACACACACACACACACACACACACATAGACTTACTGCCGTTCTTGTCCGCGGTTTGGACCGGCAGTCCACTAGGATTGCAAAGTTGGTGTGAGTAAAGTCGACCCCTTTTCTCTCTCAGGAGGGTATCGCTAACTCTGGGCGATGTGTGAGTCCTTAATGCTCCTTATCCATCAGTCAAATGAATCCTGGGCAGACTGTCGGGGTTCAACCTCCTGATGAGTCGGTGAAAGTCCGACGAAACAGTCTGGTGCAGTCATGCTCTTTTTGAGTGTATACACTCTATAGTGAATATGACAACACACACA